CGATTTACACACGGCATATATTGCACGTCTGACCGTCCTGGGAGAGGGATCCCTCCTCTGTTGCTCTCCCTGAGGTTTCTCCCATGTTCCCCTTTAAACTGTGGGTTTTTTATCCGGAAGATTTTCCTTGTACGATGTGAGGGTCTAAGGTCATAGGGTGTAGTTTTCTCATACTGATATTCTGCACAAACTCCTCACATCGTACAAGGAAAATCTTCCGGATAAAAAACCCACAGTTTAAANGGACTATGGGCAATACAAGAAAACATGCTCTCCACATTGAGCGTCCTGTATTAAAAGTCGGAAACAGCCAGCCAAAAAATTAACCCTGTTTTGTGCTTCAATCTGCCTTCATGTTACCTTTATACCCACAGCAAACACTCATATTGGCATTAAGAATAAAAAATACCCAATTAAACCAAAATACTACTTCATTAGCGTTGCTTCGCGGGCCTCCAGGAAGGCCGTCGATGCAACTATATTCTGCGTTGTTTAGAGACACAATGAAGGAAAGGATGACGTCACTCAGGAAGAGATTTTTTACCATCTAATCAGGTTCGGCCTTGCCATGAGCGAATTTCAGTGTTTCCCTGACCACCTACAATCATCATTCAGTCAGGAGAAAGTCCTCCGGATGATTCCTGCCTGTGCCTCATTTAAACCCTTCTCCAGGGCCATTGTCTATCTTAATCAATTAAAAAAGTGAAAATAAATGTCCCTTACTGCTTGCGAATTTGGACTCACGGCCACTGCATATTGTCACAATCCTCATTGTTGAAATTGTTCCTCCTAGTATACTGTAAACGATGCGGAGTGTTAAGGGCTTGCCTGAGAGCAGCGGGTTTTTCAAAGTGTGGGTAGGTGAGCCTCCCCTTAGAGAACATAAGAACAGCCGCGCCCCCCCTCCCAATTATTATTGCTGTTATTATTATTATTATTGTTGCTATAATGCAGGGGTATTCAATTGCATTTCAAAGAGGTCCAGTAAGAGAAAATGTAATTAAATGCTCTGTTTTCGCTGTCTACCTTCCGCCATTTGAAATTACTCCGATTGTTTCTCTCCTCTTGTCGTGTCTCTGTGTGTGTGTTTGAATCTATCGTGCTGACTGCACCGATTTGATTGGCTGGGTAGCGTCACCTCCTTAAAACATTAAACAATAACTTTTTTAAACCTTTTTATTTTTATGTTTTAAACATATTGTATAAAAGTCCCCCACTACTTGGACTATTCCTTGCACCCCTCTAGAATAAGCCCGAATGGTCTCAACCATATTGCATCAGTAACGTGCACTTGTTATTATAACAAGATCGCAAGGACGCTGGTAGCGATCGGAAAATTGAGTGTTGTTCAGTTTGTGTGTTGTGGAACATGCGTGTCCGTGCATGAAAATATACCACACACCCAATTACAATTGCAAGTTCAATTCACTACCCTGGAAGTTAATACAGTTGTTAAAGTTGGAACAGCCTGTGGACAGCCGTTCTTCCTTGCATGTCAGTCGCCGACACCTTCTTACAGAGGACAGGCACATCTAGCTGCAGCACGACCCGTATATTTCCGCACGCCGTGTTCTCAAGACATATTTTTTTTAACATTTTCAACATGGTGGATAAATCCTTATATGCTCCCGGCAACACACTGAACGTCAACTTTGCCTCCTTATTACACTCGCCCCTACTTTAGTGGAAACAATGAGTCTGCGTCTTTGATGCACACAGGAATAAACGCAGATCATACTCTGGCTGCAGCCTTGACCGGTACTTGCTTTTGATCAAAGTCAATGCGGAAAACCTGCACTCACACAGGTAGGTGGAGGTGAAGGGAATGAGCACTTTTAAAGCCTTTTTGGCGAGGTGGGGGAACTCGGTCTCCACAGACAGCCACAAGTGGGCAAGTGTCACTTTACTCGTCTTTTTCTCGTTCTTTTGTGTCTCACGCTGCGCCTCCCCTGAAGCTCTCTGGCGCCCCCCAGGGGAGGCGCGCCTCACACTTTGAAAACCGCTGCTCTAAATCATTTGCAAACTCCTGCAGATTGACCACTGGGTGGCAGACAGAGATTGGACAACACAATTGTTTTTCTTTGTGTCCTTGTCCCATACTGCATTACAACTATGTCTCCTAATAAGATTCACATACATCATAAGGGTATACAGGACCAATTTACAGATTAACAGTAGATCCTATGTGTTTACATGTCATTGGCCAAATATAAACATAGTATGCTTTCATCTCCTCAGTTCTAGGAACGGGTGACCAAAATAACTGGTGTAAAACTTTTTCACTTATTTGCTGCTATGAGTGTTGTGATTGGCCGACGGAACGTACCTGCACATGCTGGACTTCCTGGACATGGTGGTGCTGGGGGATGAGGGCGGCGTTTGATAAGACCAACCATAGTCTGAGCCCTTAAGATCCATGATCACCTGAGAGGGAGGAAAACACAAGTCCTAGTTATAGGTCGAACTTAACAAAGCTTTATTTAATCCACAGAACCTCTTAAAAAAACAAAAACAAATCAGTCAGTGAGATGAATGTCAGTTTCCCCTTTGATGGTTTTCCTCACCTGTTCACTAGCAGGGGGAAGCTTGTGGGGGTCAGAAGTCAGGGCTTTGAGGTCATCAGAGATTGCCTGGAGATGGGTGACCTCTCCCAACATAGAAATCTCCTCATCCTAAAAGATTTCATGGCAGAGAGAGAGAGCAGATTCCTCTTTAGATAGCAGAAAAAGGTATTTTATGAGAGCCTGGAGTAAGAATATACTGTGAAGAAGTAGAGGGCTTGAAAATGCTTTCTGAAAGCTCATCCCTTTCTTTTTTTTACAGCTGTACTCACCACTACAGGACGGAGCAGGCCTACGAACCAGCAGAACCTCTGTCTGTCCTCGATGAGAGCCCTCCTCAGGGCCTGCTTCTCTGTCTCCTCCAGCAGAATATATTTATCACTGACATCCTGCATGGCACTGTCCAACTGCGGCTGAATATCTCCACGACCTTCGAAACAAAATGGACAAAAATAAATAAAAAAATAACACATTATTCTAGGTATAATACACATGCCAACTCGCAAGGAAACATGTGATTAACTAAGACGGTGTGTTAGGGCCATTGAAGGTTAGTAAATAAAGTTTACAGAACTGGGGAGGGTGGTAATATTCTCAGGGAAAACTTGTGAATTTATTTATTTATGATCTCAGAGGTAATGTACTTTATTTCTTGTGAATGCAAAACTAAATTCTTGTAAATCCTTAACTGCAATAGTCCTAATACTACTTCACAATCTTTTAAAATGAAGGTGCTCAGATGCTTTTCACCACTAAACCTGATGGGCAATATTCTCCCTTTATCTTTCTTTGCACACATCCATGAAAAAGAACAGAGTTGTGCTAATAAAACATGCATGAAAAGTCACAAACAATATGATCATGTAGCAACGAAAGAACATTTAATCTGCACAACTACTGTCTTTCGTTTGAACATCTGCTCTACATGTTACTATCTTCATTGTGGACACTGCTATCTTCAGTGCTAGCATTTGAATATCCTCACTACTTGTTTGGCTATCAGCTCTGCATGAAGGGCGACTCTTTCCATGGAAGTGTTTTGTGTCAATTGTACAGAGGCGGCAAGAAGGATATCTACTTTAGGCTAATCTGTTGCTCTTCTTGAACTTCAATCCATTATGTCGAGATAGCCAAAACTAAATGAAATATCCCTCCATTACTGTTTGTCTGACACTCAAAATATAGTTTAGGTGACTCAGTGTTTGGTTTTAGGAATGGCAAGTGTGCAAGGTATTTTGAAGAGCATCTGGCCCTTGTGCTGTCTACGTGTGTTTGAATATGCATATGCAAATCAAGGAATGTCTTAGGGCAATTACTTTCCCAAGGTGATCCTGAAGCCAAATCAAGCCCTCTTTAAGTTCTCCAAGGAGGCAGGAAGGCTGGCGACTACCCAGGATGACAAACAGTGGGCCTCAAAGGCATTATCTAACCACACACACACACACACACACACACACACACACACACACACACACACACACACACACACACACACACACACACACACACACTTTGGTCCATCAAGGTTAAACCCACAGTGAACCACTCTGTGGTCTGTGTGTCTGTCTGCTCTTGGGTCTGGCCAATGATAACAAACTGGCGTCTCTCCGAGACATTTGACATGTGGCATTATACCATGCAAATCAGTAGAGAAAAAAAGCAGATACGGTTACACAGGCGAATCATCCTCACCTCAAAAGTGAAACGTAAGGACGTGTGATCTTTCCTCTCTGATATGTCAGTGCAGTGTATGCATTAGGTATCATACAGCATGTGGGAAGTTCAGTTTCAGCTGCTTCATCTCTTCCTCAGATGACTACAACACCATTACAATGACAATCAACAATGGCTTCAAGGGCGCAGCAAAAATAATAGGTTAATGGAAAAAGCCAAAGGTACAAATAGTCATTATGCACCTATTGCACAGCAGCTGACATAACTTAGAAACTACCAAATATTTGTGCAATGTGTTTATTGATTGATGAAGTTGCCAAGTGTGAATCCCTATTAGATAGCTCTTATTACTTGATGGTTGTTGGCAAAATAAGGCAAACTGATTTTCCATATGGAGGGGATCCATTTACCAAGCTGAGGTGACCGTGACGCTGAGAGGAATTAGAGTTGTGTGTGTGTGTTTATGGCACTTCATACTCTATTACACTATGAAGACCATAATGGAGTAGATGGACTGTGGACTGGAAAGTCCAAATTGCAGTATATATTTTCAGGCTCATATAGATCTAAAGGCCACATTTAGAGGAGACAAGTATACAATTACATTGTACTAGGTTTTGTGGAGAACTGGCAGTATGACTGAGCCTGAGAGGGCGAGACAGGCCTCACTCATTAGTCTGGTTTCCACTGCAGGACAGGACTCATTATTATTCACTTCCCTCCAGGCAAAATGTGTCTTTTTCCATCTTGTTGCCAAGGCAATTATTTATAAGCTATGCTGACATTTCAGATAATGTTTCAATCACTAGTGATAGCTGGTCTATCTTTATTGAATGACATCTATCAAATAAAAAAGTGTGCAGTTAACTGTAATAAATGTCAACTTTATGGAACATGCTCAATACAAGCCATGACATCGAAAGATGCTCTCAGCTTATGTAACGCTGCAGTAATGCTCAGAGAAGTTGTGTGACATTGTGAAGTATTCCTGTCGCAGCACTGGGTTTAAAGGAACTGTTTATGATAAACACAAAAACATTGAAATATGTAGGCGAACAGGTTGGCCTCTTTGTAGATAAGTAGCTCTTGGAGGCCGTAAGCCTGTGATGCTGTGGTGTCTCTTGGAATGCAGTAAACGAAGGGCGCATGCTGTATTCTGGTTTTCTCCACTAGTTCAAGTCTTGGCAGAGTGTATTATTGACATAACCACAGTGGGTTTGGACGCTACTGTAAGTTGAGGCACTCTGTCTGAGACATATGGAAAGGCACATTTATTTTTTGTTGCAATTTTGGTAGTAATAATGAGTATCTTGGGAAGCGAGTAGAGTAGTGCCCAGACATCATAACAATCAGTTTAACATATCTTCCTTAGGTGCTTTTGTCACAGGTCCACCCATTTTGGAAGCACCCCATCCTTTAACTCATGATAATATATTAAAAAGTTAGATTTTTTTCTGCAAAAGCAATGAAACCGACTTCATTGTAATGAGAATTATCTGAGTTTAGCCCTCTAAAAGTGAATCACAAGGTCATAAATTCCAGATATGCATAAGCTCATGTGGAAACTGACCAGAAGGATAAATGTTATAAAACACTTTGAAATACCACACAGAGTAAAAAATATCCAACCAAAAGCCATTCAGTCATTACTCAATCAGCTTGAGGCAGACATCAGTGGTGATGTATACAAAAACGTAATTGTAGGGATGGAGGTGGTTGCACACACACAATCACACATAAACACACACGTGTTCTGAGACAATGCAGGCATCATGGCATGAGATGTCAACTTGTGGTAAGCAGAGGCGTTGTTAGTGCTGAACTGAACGCATTCCCTGTCTCTCTTCCATAACTTGTGCAACTATGTGAATGGCAAAGCCCTGATTGCTACTTCCTCTTCCTCTTCAACCACAGACAAACACTTGGGTTCAAGGAAGTTCAATGGGAACTGAGTCGCTGTAAACAAATCCAAAATGAAATATATTTCACAAGTCTTTCCAGTGTTCAATTAAAGACAATAAGTGCTTGTGAAACCTAGTGTAGTGTGATGTTTTGGCTTCACTCCATTAGGATGACTAATTGATGGCGTACTGTGGATGTCCTGTGTCCAAAATATGGCAACACACACCAACCAATTCAACCAAACTTGCCATAAAGTGAGTCACTAAGCCAAGATGAATATGGTGGGGGTCCTGCACTCATGAAGATACATGTGCACACACACAGAAATGAGATTAGCTTCTTCAGCTTTCACATGAACAATAATTACATTAAGTTGCAGTCACAGGCTGTTACTTAGCAAAGGCTAAGGTCTCAGGTCAGAAAAACCCCCTCACAAGACACATATCAAAACATTAGAAAACTACACCAGCAGACAGATGGAGTGTTCATTCTTTCCATAAATTGAAAACACTATACGGTACTTTTAAGTAGGGATGGGAATTTGAAAGCAAATGTATAATCGAATATGCGACCCCCAAAAAAACGGTTAACCGATATGTACATACAGTATCCTATACCAAAAAAAATGTGGAACAAATTTTGACCAAAAAAAAAATATTTTTTTTAATTTTGAAAAATAAATAAATACATGTTCAAATAACTATAGAAACCAAGTCGAATTTGTCAAATGTATTGAACTGCTGATCACAGTTTGAACAGTTGACAGCTATAGGCCTACAGCTTTCATGCTTAAAACATAACTTGTTTTTTAAATGAAAGAGGGATCATACACAAACAACATAACGGGTCAGGGTAACGTAACCCTATCACAACAGAGATCAACAACCTATAACGGGGCCTATGCACAGAATGCAGCTATTTAATACTCATTCTTGTTTACGAATATGAGCATGATTGTCTACTCAGGGGAGAGGCGGGTGTGGAGGCGATTCACAATCAGGCCAGCTGTAGAGAAGACCCTCTCAGCTGGAATTTGGGCATAAGATGAGGTTTGAGTCTGCGTGATCTGCGTGTAGGGAGGGGGGGCGCGGCTGTTCTTATGTTCTCTAAGGGGAGGCTCACCTACCCACACTTTGAAAACCCCTGATTTAGAGTATAATCCCTGCGTGATCTTCTCTTATGGTAGTGATAGTTCACTTCACTGAGAAATATAATCAAAGGTGACCTAGGTGACATTTTTTAAACTAATATTATGGAGAGAGCTTTGACCGATAAAAGCACACATTTAGTTCTGTAGCTGTTCAGACCATGTTTTCTACCGTCTGTCCTCCTTGCTTTTTTGTGTCTAATTTTTCCTGAACTGTTCTAGTGATAAGAAATACATGTTATGCTCCGTTTGTGTATTGCTTTGCATTTTTTCAATGTTGGTTTGTGGGTTTTCTGTGAACAAATTGTAATTTGAGATTATCCGTTATGTCGTGGAAAGAACGTTTAAACGCAGCAGTCACACACTCTGAAAATATGTTGCAGAGGAGCCTTATTAAAGTTTCCGTCCCCAACAAGGCTTTTTTTTAATCCTGTCAAATCATTGTGAGACCGCCATTTTTATGATTTTGATTCTTTGCATATTATAATTGTTACTAGTTTTTTTGTACTAGAAGCTTAAACTAGGTATAGTTTTGCCTTGTTCCAATGATTTATTACATTGTATGCATTTTTGCAATCTGCTTTAGATTGAATTCACACAGTAATTATGCTCTTTGCTTTTAATTAGTGTTCTGTGTGAATATCCTCAAAGGCTCCAGATCCTGTAATTATCCTCATTATGATGTCAAGCCTTTATGTTGATTTGTGTTGTTGCCTTGACTGGATCGGCCTCAGTCACTGCCTGCTGCTTCTTGGTGTGCCGTGTTAATTGTTTCCCACCCTGTCTCTCCCCAATCCCCGGCCTTCATCGCCCTCCTTTTTATTCCTTTTTTTCCCTTTCTTATCCAACTTTCCTTCTTCAATCCATGTCTTTGGGTGCACTTGATTCTCTTTACACGGCCTGTCACTGCCAAATGTCTGCTTCCTCTGGTCCTTCCCTCATCCATCACTCCTTCCCCTTTCACAGTAGTCTGAACAGCGTTAACAGTAGTGACTCCAGGGGATCCAGTGGCTCTCACTCTCATTCTCCTTCCTCCTCTTCTTCCTCCTCTTCCTCAAACCACCTCTTCCACCACCATCACCCCCGTCATCGGTACCGTAGCTCCACGCTACCCCAGCAGGCCCCGGCCCGACTCTCTAGCATCTCCTCCCACGACTCGGGCTTCATCTCTTCATCCCACGACCAATACACAACGTCCAAATCATCCTCGCCAATGGCAGCCGAAACAAAGGTAAGAAAAACCCTCAGTTACATACACTTTACTTCCCCTCACTAATCGAGACAAGACTATAAACCACATATGCTCTATGATTTACAAGTCATTGTAGTCAGAGATAAAACCCCAAAGCAGCAATCACACAACCCTTTCCCTCACACATCTCCCCAGCCATCATGAGAGGCAGTTAGCTGGCAGCAGTAACTCTATGTGATCATGGTGAAGTCATTTCACCGCTATTATTATTATTGCATAAATGCTCAGGAAATGTGTCTGCCTCCATTGGAGCCCAGGGCAATACAGGTCACCCCCATCCTGCTATTAAAGAGTCCACCGCTGTGACAGCCCGCGGTTTGGCTGGAGCATACTGTGTGTTGTATTTTCATTAAATGTATCACAGTAAAATGACATGTTACAGTGTGGACAGTCATTTCTTTTACAGGCGCCGAGTGTGTGTCTCTATCAGAAGGTCTCATTCTGTCAGTTTTATCCAACCATCTGACACGAGGTTTCCGATAATGATCAATGTGAGAGCACAGAGGATTATCAGCATGGGGTTTGTGGTTTGAGATCAACCATGAGAAGCGGCTGCACTAGCTGACATTTTGTTAGCACGCCAGCAACCAGAGTTCCCCTCTCCAGAACACATTGGTATAGACAGACTCCAAGTTTTTATGATGCAGGGAAGGTGGTTTGGCAAACCCATATCTGACCCATATACAGAAGAGTCATGGGAATCAGACCTGGGGTTGTAGATACAATAGTGCATGTGTGAAAGAGAACTGTCTCATGGCTAAACTAGGCTAACAAAAGTTCAATAAAGACAAGATAGTGCTTAAACACATAATGTGGATCTTTCCCATTTCCATCCTTTTTTCAATACACACTTTTATGAGGGGTGTTGTTCAATAAAAAAGGTTATTTCCCTACAGATTAAGTGTCTTTGTTAATAAAATAACCAGGGCCGACCCCTTTGATGATACAATGTGTCACATAGGTTAAGTTTGTGAGGATACTTTTGACATCCAAAAGAAGATCGTTGCCTGTGCCTTCCTCTAACAAAGTTCCAACACATGCAGAGTGCTCTGGTACGACTCCCAGAGCACTCTCTCTGCAGCCTCCATTGTCACCTGGCTGTTCTCCCCACTAACTGCTGAGAACTGTGGAAAAGTTGCCCATGCTCTCTAACAAACCGCTCCTCTCTGTCTACCTGCTGACATGTCTGTCTTTGCAACTCTTCCCCCTCCGTCTGTCTCAATTCCTCTCTCCCCCTCCTCTTCCCCCTCTCTCCCTCTGGTCTCCCCCTTCTGCCTGCTTGCTGCTGCCCTCGCTGTCCCAGCCTTGTCCCAGCTCCAGGCTCTCTGAGGTCTCAGAGACTGGGCAGCTCCACAGTGACTGCAGCTCCCCCTCTCCTCTAGCTGCTGCTAGTGCACCTCAGCACGATACTGACAAGGTGAACCACACTCATCCACTTCCCCCCTCTCTCTTATAAATGCACCACAACTTCTTCGTACTGAACTCCAAACGTGGGTGTTCACTGCATCGACTTTAGCACAGAAGTCTTTTTCTCCATTCTTTTATTCAGTTCTGCATTTGTTACTATTTCCTTTGACTATCATCCATATGGATTCCTTATTGTTCCCTTAACATAATTGACCCTTTGTGATATTATTTATTTTGTGTTCTGTATTCCATTGTTTTCCATTATTATATTTTTTCCACTTTTTGTGATTGTTCCTTATTTTTGTTTTTGTTATCATCCCTCCTCCCTCCTGCACACACATCCAGTTGTCCAACGGCTTTGACAGCTACAGTCCGGCTCATTCCCCCTACATTCATAGCAATGGGGGGAGTTTGGGCTCAGGGTCAGGCACTGCCTTCTTCCCTCCTTCATCCCCATCCCACACCACCTCCTCCTGCCCCACTCGCTCATGGTCTCGCCCTGCCTCTGCCTTGCTGCCAGACCACCCTCAAAACTGCACGCTGGGCTCCACCATGGTGCCTTCATCACGAGTCCCGAGCTGGAAGGTTGGTTCATCACATCCCATCCTCCTTTGTTAAACAAGTTTGTTCTTTATCAGTTTGATCATTTTTGGTTAAATCTGCAGCTTGGAAAGAAGGGGGAAATGGTTGTAGGTGTTCATCAGAAGCACTTCAGAGTAATGTGAAGTATTAACAGTGAACTCTTACATGCCTTTCTTTACAGGACTGGGCTAAACCGGGCCCTTATGACCAGCCTATGGTCAACACACTGAGGAGGAAGAAGGACAAGGGGACTCCTACTATAGTGGACAGTAATGGTAGTTTGAGTAATAATAGCAGCTTGGCATTGACATCCACCTCAGCACCACCTCTGGCTGCACTACAGACATCTGTATCCATGGAGGAGAAGAACCGAACTGTAGCTGCACAGTTCAAGGTCAGTTAGTCTCAAACTCATACAAACACAGCCTGCCTCATTTAGACCATCACACTTACAGCCAGCCGTTAGCGTGTGTTATTTATAGCACATATTTATTGTGTTATGTGTCTTTTATATTTAGCTTTTTCACTTTTGTCTGTATTATGACTTATGAAGTTTGCTGTTAGCTTAGGTCTACTGTTGGATCTCTGTTAATTGTCGATTCATCAGATTTATATCTTGCGAAGGTCTATATGTTTTCGGACATTCTGTCTTGTTTTTGTGCCTAAAAACAATAATACTATGCTGCAGCACACAACAATAACATAGGTCAGTCCACATTTAATGCCATCTGTAATGCTAAGTTCAGATGACTTCACATTCAACTTCTAGCAGGCCGATGTTTTTGCAGTCATGGGATTTAAACCACATGAATCAGCCTCCCACCTAGGGCTGCTCGATTATGGCAAAAATCATAATCTCGATTATTTGGGCCAATATTTGATATCACGATTATTAAAAACAATTATCCATTTACTTAGAAAACATTGAACAGTATGTTTTTAACAGTTGATTACCTTGAACTTTAAGTATAATTCAACTGAAAAACCAATTACATTGTTTAAATTGTTTTATTGTTTTATTTTGATTATGTTGTTTTCATAATCGTTGCAAGCCAAGATCGTAATTGCGATTAAAATACGATTAATTGAGCAGCCCTACTCCCACCATTAATGTTCCCATTTAATGACTTTCATGAGCTGTCCCTAATGATTTGAATGATTTGAATGACTTAATGTGCCTGGCTGTAGAGAGACTTTGAGACCATACTGAATGTTCTTTTTCATTGGGTGATTGCTCCAGGCTGGTGAACTTGAGGCCCATGAGGAGCTGGCTCTGGCTTTAGCCCGAGGTCTGGAGCTGGACACCCAGAGGTCCAGCAGAGACTCCATCCAGTGCTCCAGCGGCTATAGCACTCAGACCAACACCCCCTGCTGCTCTGAAGACACCATACCTTCACAAGGTAACACATTACATCTAGGATCAGATGTTCACCATCTTTTTAAGAACTCTACTAAGACTTCTCTTTTTTTAAGGGTTCCCTCAGATCTTAAAAAGGGCATTTCATTTTCAATCTTCAATAATATGGCCTTAATTGTTATTTGAATATCTCAAATCAATGTTCTTTAAAAAAAGACGTGGGAAGCAGGACTTTATGCATTGTGCATGCTATTGCATTATACAATTCTAAATATGTTTAGTAGTATCGTTTCTTTTTAAATAATTTTAATATCGTTATCATTCACAAAAAGTCTTAAGTTTGAAGCTAAAGTAACCCCTTTTTTGTCCTCTACTATCATAAAACACTGTATGTTGTGGTATCAGCTCATTGTTAACCTCTCTGTGTTCTCTTTAGTTTCAGACTATGACTATTTCTCAATGGCTGGAGACCAGGAGCCTGAGCAGCACTCTGACTTTGACAAGTCCTCCACCATCCCCAGGAACAGTGACATCAGTCAGTCCTACCGCCTCATGTTCCAGAGCAAACGACCCGCCTCCACCGCCGGCCTTCCCAGCACACACACTGCGTACCATGGACAGGGGTCTTACCCACAGGGGCCCTACCCCCCCACACCTATCCACACTGGGGCTTATCCTGCTACACCTATAGGTACACACTGGTGTTGCACATTTTTACGATATCATATTGGTTGATGCTAATATTTCTTATTTAGAACACTTTATACATGTTTTATAATAGTAATACTTCATCAGATTAATGTGTTTTTCTTGTCTTGATATCCTTTATTGTGTTTTCTTTATAAATCATGAATGCAAATTCAAAATGTAATATGTTATTAAATGAAATTCCCATTTGTGTTTGCAGGCTCGAGTTCAGGTCAAGGATTTTATTCTGGATCCAGCTCCCATAATGCCTCTGGCTCCTACTCTACGGACCGTGGTCCAGTTATTGTCACCCCTGGTACGGCCACGATCCGCCGCACCCCCTCTTCAAAACCCTCCTCCCGCCGCTCAGGCTCAGTTACGGGCACAGGCCCAATCCCCATTCGTACGCCCGTCATCCCGGTACAAATCCCTACGGTGCCCGACCTGCCCGGGGCAGTCAATGGGGGCAGGGCCTCAGAGGAGAGGGGAGGGGGAAAAGGAGAGGTAAGCCCAGATTCTCCAACATTTGCGGGAGTGGAGGGCGCTGGCACGCTGCCTGTGATGTCCTGGAGCGGTCAGGCTACCACCAACCCCCCCACTGCACCACTCGCCCAGCTGCTGCAGCAGCAGGGAGGAGGAGGAGGAGGAGGAGGAGGAGGAGAGGAGGAAGAGGAACAGTCAGAGGGCAACATGCTGATGGCCATCCGCAAAGGGGTGAAGCTCAAGAGAACCCTCACTAGCGACCGCTCTGCACCACGCATCGCATGATGACACAAGAAACACGAGCACAGTTAGGCTTTAGGAAAAACGTTGCTTATAAAAATGCAATGTAAAGAATCAAAAGGCTTCTTATGCTACTATGAGAAATGTATCACACCTGTTCTACATGTAGCCTTTCTCATTCTGTAAACCTTCCTCACTGCAGAAGCCATCTATAACGATTAAACATAGAAATAAATATGCTATTGTTCAGATTCCCATTTTCTGATTTGGCTTAAGATGCCTCAGAAATTGTGCAAAGCAAGGTATGTTAAAATACTGGTTTAGACCTGAAATGCATCCCATGCCCACTTGGTGATGAATCCTTGTTAAAGTTCAATAACACCACAAGCCTTTACGGGTACAAGGTAATATCTAATTTCTCACATAGGGCCTGGAATTAAGGTTGTCGCCCTAAGCACTAAAATGTTCTTTTGCAAAACCCACAGCTTTGTGCTGACGACACAAGTACAGAGTAGCATTACACCACAGTACGTTAATAAAGATATATTTTGTATCCAGTATTCTTCCTAAAGCTGAGGGCTTGACAAGGAAAATGTGTCTGCCTCTCCTCGGTGTAAAAAGACACTGACTATGTGTAATCTCATTGTTTAAGAGTGCGTTGTACCATTGCGGGACAAATAGGCATTCTAACTGCCTAGTGACTTGGCAGAAGGAGCACAATAATCAAGCAAGTACTTCACAGCATCAAGAGAGCAATAACAGACGCACTAGAAAGCAGTGGTGGCTTTGAAATGCACCATTTGGCACCTCCTGAATTGTATTGACCGCTTACATGGAGGGACGCCCTGATGGCTGCAGGAAGGGGCTGTGTTAAAGCTGTCCACTCACAAAGGATTCAATATGTGAGATGTCCACAGAGCCAACATAGGCAGGGGAAGAACCAATACAGACAACCTCCAAAAGGAAAGGACCTGCGTTGTGTTGCAGACTGAAAATCATCTAAGTCAAAGGTTTAGGAGACGACATCGTGACTAAAGCGTCACATGGTTGATTCCGTGACATTAACAGACTCTATAAGTGACGTCCTGTTTTAGTTGTTTTAGTATTTACATGATTTGTAAATATTTGTGGACTTTTGTCAGTGCTTCTCACTCTCCGTATTTCTTTCTGCTCCTCCACACTGCCACAATCAACGCATCTTAAAACCGGATGCTCATTGAACATATGACCATCAAACCCTATTACCTTAAGGATATGATTTCATTTTATTTTTCACTTTTTTTAAAACTATGAAATCATCCTTGAATCTGCAGTATCTACATGCTGAGCTTTGTAGAAGTCCTCAGTGATTTGTGTTTATACAGTATATTAGCAGTTATATTAGCCCCTTCTTTTTGTAGCATTTATTAGCCATAATGCAACTCTACTAAAAAGTATAAATATGCCATGTCAAACTCAAAGTTAAATAAGGAGGACAAATATTTGCTGATGTTCTGAAAGTTATGAGTAGAAAGCTGTTTTCATGGTAATGCCATACTGGTTTTTATTTGTCTGGTTGCTGTTATATCTAACTCTTTGTTGTTTTCTTTGGAAAGCATGTAGCGTGCATGCTTTATTCCTTTTGCTAATAAGGTTTTCATTTTTCATCCAATTCTGGTTTTTTTAATTTTTGCAGTAGCATCACAGGTCCAGTACGTACAGATTGTATTACCCTTAAAACTAGGAAATCGCATCCCAATCCATTGTATTGGTTTAGAAATATGTCAATTTAGGTGGTACAATTTAAAATATTTTGTTTTTATGCTGACAATAAGATGCATTGGAGATATGACTGCAGACTATAGGCTGACTAGTATCACTCAGGATCACTGAGCCTGTATTTTCATTTTCATTTCAGTTCAATCACTGTGAGACCATGGCTTCTACAAGATGTATAGATGTTATTTAGCTCTACAGGTTATTCCAAGAACTCACACATTTTTTATTTATTTTTCTTCTTCTCGGTCTTTAAATCTCTTGTTTTCTCAACCTATTTTTATACATATATAACATATCAGAGTAGTAGAGTTGTTTCCTCTATCTGTGCATGTACTATCTGATGTGTTATTTCATCAGCAAAATGTTCTCAATACCGTCCTGCAACGATTCATTTAAGTCCCATATTTCAGTCGCGTATGCATAGTTGCACGTCATTTTAATGATAACATATGGTTTGAAAGTGAACAGTTTTGGTTTGATAATGGAGAGGCCTGCATCAGTGTTATGGTTTCACATGTTGGGAACGGAAATGTTTGCATGATGCAGAGCTGAGTCCAGTTAAGCATCAGTTTGTTCAAGATGGGCATTTCCTTCACAGCAAGTGTGCAGTCATCATTTTATGTATACATTTAAAAAAGAAATGCATTATTTTAGAGCGAAGAAGCTGAACTCTGGCTTAATCTGACCTGACATCTTGCCATGAACTTCAGTTTTTTTCTATATTTTAAGAAGGTATCTAATGTAACAGCATTTTACAAAAGGAGACATGAGAGCAAAAGAAGGGATGACAAAAGAAAGATATCTTAATTAAACCCAAAGCAGGGGGATGCACCACCACTTGGTTAACATAACATAACACTCAGTTCTTTATATTGTTGTTGATGTTTATATTTTTGTTGTTTTGTTGGCCGTCCACCTGTCTAAAACGTATGTTATCGACTTGTAATTTCCATATTTAAATTACTAGCATAAATATATATATATTATATCAGAGTTGCCACATGCCAGTATATCCTATGAATAAGATGTTTAGAGTTTGTGAGGGTTTGAATAAACTGTTCAAACTGGTTAATAGTTTTTAGCTTATTGCCCCCCCACAATCTATATTATAAAATATATATCCTATTCATTGTACCATCCCGACTGGACAATTGAACATACCAACTTTTTTACACTTCTATTACCCTTAAGAAAATTTACAAATCAAAGACGTGATGTTAGCCAGCATTAAATACTCTCTAAACCACGCCACAAGTACTTCATCGTTATGACAGCCTGTTCCTGATCGCTGTAGCTTGTGTCAATTGTGGATTCCAATCCAAAAAATCAAACCCCAGTTAACGCTTGCTCATTGCATGTTATATACAGTGTGAATAGAACTGACTGCAGTTGGGATGAATAATCGTATGACACACACACGTTACTCCATCAATTAAACTGTATTCATTAAGCATCTTTCTGATAAGAATATAACATGATTTGCTATGTTGTAATATAGATATTACAAAGATAATGTATAGCGAACATCATTTTCCATTACCTCCCTGCCAGTAACGCCTAGCAGCCCACCGAACATAGGTTGCCACAGCCAGTATATCCTATGAAGTAAGATGTTTAGAGTTTGTGTGAGGGTTTGAAATAAACTGTTCAAACTGGTTAAAATAGTTTTTAGCTTATTGCCCCCCCCCCCCCCCAGGAGAGTTGACCTCTCGGTATGTCCCTGTACAGTTCAACAGACTAAGATGCAGTTTGTTTCCAGAAGTAAAAGGTTGTTATTTGTTGTGTAATGACAGCTTTAGCAATAAAATAAAACATATACATGTTGCTTTGGCTCACTGACTTCTTGAATGTCTACGTTCTCTGTGAGTTTCAAAAGAATCAGACATCAGATCAGACAACTAACCTACGACTTTGTTTTTTTACAGGCCTAAAACATCTTCGACCATTTTGTTGGATGAACTTTTTGACTTAAACTTCAAGCTTTGCAATTGTTTTTGAAATCAGGAAATTAATTTAAATTCCTTTTTTGCAGATTGAACCCTCATGTGGCAAAAGAACAATGACATTTGTGCTTATTTAATTGATTGTAAATTCAAACTGTAAACTGGGACAGTGTGTGGCAGATATTATCACAAAAAATCTTAGCCTTTTCTACACCAGGGGGCGTTCTTGTATGCCTCCTTTTAGCAGCCAAACCTTGTTTATGGTTCTACTTGGATAATGCATCACTCCCCATCCTCAGAGGCCTGAAAACACTGGTCCAATCAATTGAAGTACAGTCAAAACCATAAATTACCCCCTCACACCGAAGGGCATGAATAAACGCCCTAACTATTGAATTGTGAGTTATATGGTATTTTTGTTCTTCAAGTACAGTACAGGCTACCTCCATGATTCATAACTTCCACATGGTGTCATATTTTACTGGGGTGTGGTGGATTGTTGATGGAATAGCTCAAATAACCCGCGTGCATAATAGCAGAGAAGAGCACACACCCAACAGACAAGCCGTCATTTACAAAACCTGTAAGATATTAACAGCCTGTCTGTGACACTCAATAGGCTATACTGTAAAGCTATAACTTTTCAACCTCGGTTTATATCCCTTACATTTAATTTCACTTTTTAAGTATGCAGGATCAAATTCGTTTTATATTTCATTATAGCAGACGTGGCTTGTTGTCGTACTAAACATGAAAGCATCTTACGGTTTTATACTGAACGTACGTCCGGCGGTGCCGTCAGAGTTACGCACGGTGGAAAGCAGCGCAGCCATTGGAAAATATTTTCGGGCTGATGACGTTTCCTCCCATCGCCTCCTATCATCCTGTCAGCCAGAGGTTACAGCAGCCGGGAAAACGCTCGCAAATATGTGATATTTCCTCAAACACTGCTGCTAGTTTAGTGTTTCAGGTATATTTTTTGTTCGGGTATCTACAAAACTTCACCACTGGTAAAAAGCAAACGTATTCTCCGGAGCAGCTTCAAGGTTTCTTGTGGAGGTTGTTGGACGGGACAGCGGGACCATCGACTGAGGTGCGTCCGAACAGACAAGTTGAACCTTTTCCTATTTTATATTTCTCAGAGGGCCCGTAAAATAGCTTTGACTTGGTATTTTCTTATATATTATGTAATTGTTGTTGGCAGCACCGTGTTTCTCTCTAACAAATCAAGCGGTTACACTACGGGGATACAGGGTGCTATCACGCGATGGAAGCAATGGTTATTTCAAATTTCAGCGACATTATTTCATAATTGTCATGTCATCTTGTATTATGGGTAAGTGCAGACTCATGTTCTATTGTCCTCCACTCTTCTCCATCAGGTCTCCGGAGCATTACTCTACCCCCATGCCCGCCGCGATGCTGCCCTGCCTGCGTTCTGTCCTGCGGCCCGCCCTCTCTCTGAGAGCCGGGTCTGTGTTGGCCACAGCCGGACTCAGCAGCCACCAAACCCCCGCTATAGCGTCCTGTGCACGGAGCACCTCAGAGCCTGCTCTCTCCATGCTGGGGCAGCGGAGGCACCTGGGCACACACCCGCTGAGGGAGAACGTGGACCCTCTCGACTCTCCCCGGGGAGCCAAGGAGTTTATTTACACTCTCCATCCCACCGAGAGGAGCTGTCTGCTCCGAGAGCTGCACAAGTTCGAGTCCATAGCCATCGCTCAAGGTAAGGGAGGTGCTACAGTACTACAGCATGCATATTAACAGTAGATGGCGTACTGCAGGGACGGTAATGGAAATGCAGTTCAGCTATACAAATTATCTTTAATATTATATACAACATAGCAAATCATGTTATATTCTTATCAGAAAATGCTTAATGAATACATTTATAATTGATGATAACGTGTGTTGTGTCATACAGTTATTCATCCCCAACTGCAGGTCACTTCTATTCACCACTGTATATAACATGCAATGACAAGCAGTTAACTGGGGTTTGATTTTTGGATTGGAATCACAATTGACACAAGCTACAGCATCAGGAACAGGCTGTCATAACATGAAGTAACTTGTGGCGTGGTTTAGAGAGTATAATGCTGCTAACATCACGTCTTTGATTTGTAATTTTCTTAGGGTAATAGAAGTGTAAAAAAGTTGTATGTTGCAATTCCAAGTCGGGTACAAGGATAGTATTTAATAGATTTTCTTTGTTTCATAAATCATGTCATACTTTCGTGTAGCCAGTCCCTGTGACAGTATTCAGACGACCCTGACCTCTGACCTCCCCTGAGAGTAGAGAGGATCAATATAGTGTCACCATTACTCTCATTTACATATCTATTCCACAAGCGTCACCAAGCATGACAGTGGGGATCACTCATACGCTTAAATACAGGAGCAGGTTATTTGCAAAAGTAAGGCATTAGCTGAGTTTCTTGACAAAGAAGGACATTGTGAGATTAAAGGAAGAGCAAGGAGGATGTCCATCTAAGCAAAAAAAAGGAGTATATGCGGCGATCAATTCATGGATAGCAATAACAATAAAAGAAGGTAAATGACATGAGTGGTCAAGGTTCTCTCTGACAAATCTCTTTTAAATCTTTAGCCTTCATCATTTTTGTCTAATGGCTTTATTTTGTACATAAGTAAATGTTGGGAAAAAAATCAATGTTCCTTCCACTGTTTCAGCATTGCCCTAGAATTGTGGTTTATGTATGAAGCATTGTGGCTTTTTTCCTGCAGGGTGATGTGGGTATGAGAAAGGTTTTAGTCCAATGTCTCATGATGGACATATGATTCCCTGTCTTGTGGGATACCTTGCAGGGTCACTTCAAATATCTCTGGCCTTAGAGAAGTTGAAGTTAGACTAATCGATTAAGTCTGTAAATTCCTCCACATCAACAATTTGAAGCTAATGCTCTTATTTGATGTGCACTCTCTCCGACACCAGGCTCCTTTAAGCCATATAGCATCAGACTGCTGAATGTTGAGCGTACATGCATCAGTTAATATGAATAGTGTTGTTTGTGCTGTGTCTTCTCAGGGTACAGTATGTGAGGCTCTAAATATCAATTAGCAACAACATGTGCAAATTACAGCCCAGACTGACATTATGAACATCAGCAACCCTTTGACATTGGCTTAAACGTTTAGTTAAGTACTAGTTAAGATTTTAGTTGTTCTGCATTTGTACTTTTTACATTGCCATAGTAGCTTTTATGGAGGAAAAAGACAAAACAAATGTTGCATCACAATTAACTCTGAATGCAAAAGGGCTTCAAAACAAGTTTAACTAGGGAAGGTAAGCATGTCAGTGGTTGTATTGATTATTTACAGGATCGACTGGGTCAAAGTAGTCCATCACTTCTCTCTTGAACACAAGAATGCTTTCATTTTAGCCTTGATAATAATGGTGGTGTTTTTTTAGCGGTTATTACAGAGATGGTAGAGCAGATGATGGAAATTATTGTTAGCTTGGCATTGTCAGTAATATTGCAAACAGGAAAAAGACTGCAAGACCATGAGATGTTGTAATGATCATTACCCTTCTCAACGATATTGTTTTTCCTCATTTCAGATATTAAATCACCTTTTTTAGAAGGGGGGAAAAAAAATACCGTAACCCTATTTGTCTTTCAGCTGATATGAAATACCTTCCTCATTCCCACTCTGTTTCCTGACTCTGGGGAATTGCCACAGAAAATTGGAGAAGCTGACCTATCATTACAAGGCGTTTCAATGAGATTCTCCATGCTCGGAGCTCCTAATAATACATCATTATTTTCCTGTCCGATGTGGATGATTGCATCCGGACCACATGCTCCGAGCGAGTAATATCAACACTGAACTGAGTGGTAAATCCTTGATGATCCTCATGGTGGTGGGTTTAATATCACACAAAGAGACACAAAGTCTCGCTCTGATTTTGGACCAATGTAACATGTTCAAGTTGCACCAAAGGACATTCAAATCTTACCAGCAAAAATGTTACATCATATAAGTGTGGCATGAAAATAGAGGGATGTTATTACATCTTGAGCCAGATTTAGAGTCCCGACGGTTTCCTGTGAAATGCACCTGATCAAATCAATTGAAATTTCTTGGGTTATTAAAAGAGAACATTTTTTAGGATTAAAACCACTCAAAATTCTCAAACAATTAAGATCATAATAAAATGACTGTAGGCAGAGGACAGGTTCTTTCCTCTTCTCTCACCTGCGGGCCCTGCCTCTGCCATCCTCACTTTCATGTTATTAATACCCTCAGGGATCGTCTTACCTGTGCTGTATCAGGGCTGCAGATTAGCTGAATCAGTGATGCTGATCTCACTCTCTCGCTGGCCTGAATTTATATACCTGAGGGTTATAAGCAGGTTTTCTGAATGTGGAGGAAGCTGGCTGTGTTCTTGTGGTTGAAGCTCACCAGCATATCTTTGTGTTGGGTTGCTTATCTACACTTCCTGTGATTCAGGTCTTCTGAATTTATTGCGGAGTAGTTCATCTGTCCTTTTTTGCTATAGTTTTGGTCTCCACAAAATCCTGTGGGGAATAGCTGCTTCTTTAATTGCTAAATGTTCCACCCTGTTCACCGCCAGGTTCTAACTTTGTTTTTCTGCTGTTTGGTCCTAAGTTTGTATGCTTATTGCTGCAGCTAGAAACTAGTTGTTCACTCAAAAATCGAATTAATGAGTTGAACTTTGCTAAAACAATCTGTAGACCTGAGAAGGAGAACTTCAGTGTCTTTAGTAACATTATTCTGCTAGTCCAAACAAACAACCCCTTTCACGTCTCTTCCATTGGTTAAAGCATACTGTGCTGCAAAGGGAGTATTGGTGCATTAGGGAAGGCTTAGTTATTATGATCTGTTTTCAGATTTAACAACTTAACTCATAATTCTTTAGAAGTGGTGGTACACAGTCTGGGGTCAAATTTACTTTGTCTTTTGTTTTAATGACAAACAGCTATTTCTAGTTAGGTCTTCATTCATTTTTCTTCATGAAAAGTGGTTAAATTGTATCAGAGAAATGTGGAACATACAAAAGTACATTTAACTTGCTGGATGGGATCGAGGCTTCATTTAGGAGGGTCAAAATATTGGTAGAGATTCCTCGTTCTCCCCATTATTTGAAGAAAGTATTAGAGTTAGAAGACAGAGTTGTTCATATCTGAACATTGGGAGTTGTTTCAAAGATAATTAATTAAATTACGTCTCAAGACAGTTCTTAATAATAATAATAATAAGACTAACCCCTTAGAGCAGAGTAAAGTGTGGATTTTGATGATTCATCGTCATGAACAAGGTCTCAGTAATTAAATTGTCAGAGACCATTTAGTGATACTACTACACAGCTCCTGGCACTGAAAATAAATATTGGGCTGCGGCAAAAAGATAAATGTTTGTGTTATTTCCTACCCATGTTTTGCAATTAAGCATGGTAACAACGTAAAATGGGACTGGGATTATATTATGATGAACTATTAGTTGGAATGATATGATTTACTGAAAGACAAATGCTGCATCACGTAATCTGACAACCTTCTTAGATTTGAATCAGTTGATTCCATACTATCTTAACATTTTGATCTATTCCCTTTTATTGGAGAAATATCACAATCACAGGAAACAGGAGTCATCCTTACATTCTAATAGAATTGTCAAAAGTGTAGAGAATTGAAGCAATGACTTATAGGAGCAGGAGAGGAGAGCAGCAGCAGATAAAGGAAGCAGCCGGAGTTCCTTGTGTTCCATCTGGCCCCCTGTGATCCTCAGATACCGAGTGACTCAGTGACATCCAGCACACTTCCATGCTTTCCCACAGACCTGCTGGTGAAGAAGAAAACGTGAGAGGAATTGAGATGGAAGCTATTTCCCTTCATGGCCCAGAGGATGGAAACGTAATGTACACGGAAAGCTAAATAGAGATGCAAAAGAGGAAAACACAGCAAGTAAAGGGGGGCGTCTGGATCAACTTTATGACTTTCACTTCAGTGACCCTTAAAGGACCCCTATTATACTGTTTTTCATCAATATATTATAGTTCTCAGATATATACAAAACATGTCTCTGAAGTGTTTGGCTCGAAATACCAAACAGATCATTGTAGCATCCCATAAACCCCTCTGTTTCAGCCCTGTTTCAAAAGTGCAGATTCTGTGTCTGTAGCTTTAAATGCAAATTAGCTGCTGCTGGCCACGCCCCTCTGCGAGATGTTTGTTTAGAAAAACATAATGGTACTCTAGGAGGAGACTCAGCTGATAAGCTGGGTGGGGGTTACCTTGGTTGGTGATTGGTTGCACAACCCAAAAAAACATTGTGACATCACAAAGTGGCCAAAATCTGATCAGCTCATTTTCAGACAGATTGTTATATACAGTAAATGGATCAGGACGAAAAGAGAGGGAACATTTTTTCCTGAAACTTTCAGAATCTCTTAACACAGACGCGACACATATTTATGTATAAAAGACATACAAACAAGTGGAATTTGCATAATAGGTGACCTTTATGATTGTACTACAAAGTGGGCATATCAGGGGCATTAACAAACATGCTCTTTCTTTCATTTTCTTTTACGACCTGTCATTTATTTCTCCTAACGTTTGAAACCCTTTATGTTTCAAAGCTTCAATCCTGTTTCCTCATGTTTGTCTGTTCCGAAAAGGATGGCGCATATTTGCTATGCTGAGTGTGTTGCTCTAATAGGGCCTGCTGATATCGTATTCC